GTGTGTGTGTGTGTGTGTGTGTGTGTGTGTGTGTGTGTGTGTGTGTGTGTAAGCAGGGGGTAGAAAGCACATGGCAGAAACTCAAGTGTAAACCCACGCAGAATCTCTCCTAAAAGCAGTGGGAGGGAGAGAGGCCAAGTGAGTGAGTGAATGAGTGAGGCCATGTGCACACTAATGCGGATGAATCTGAAAAAAACGCTTTATAAGTGCTGAAAGCTCACCGTCTATAACACCACGTTCAGAACCTTTCTAACTGTCCGCACTGAAGGCTGTGCACAACGATGGATGCTGTTCATCCATCTGCAAACTAAAACATATTCAAAGAATTTACAGCGCAGTGACAAAGAATTTGCCACCTTCGCGATTTGAGTTGTTTTTTCTTTGGGTTTTTTTCTTTTTTTTTTGCATATTTGTGACACAGATGTTTCAGATCATCAAATAACATTTTGTAAATATTGCAAATACAAAAGGCAGTTTTTAAATGATGACTTAATTTATTGGGGGAAACAAAGCTGTGCGGGAAAGGTAATCATGAATTAACTGTGGTTAACCGCATCTAGAGTTCAGTTTCACTAGCTACACTGATGCCTGATTACTGCCAAATCAGCTGAATCTGTCTGACAATATGAAGACAATATGAATCATGCCACAGTCTAAATAAACAACTGAGAAGTAAAATCATTGATATCTATCCGTCTATGAGGGTTACAGAGGCTTTGGGACTTCATGAACCACAGTGAGAGCCATTAACCACAAATGGAGAAAGCTTAGAACAGTGGTTAGCCCTCCCAGCAGTGACCAAAATTACTCCAAGAGTAATCAACAACTCATTCAGGAGGTCACAAAAGAATCCTGAACATAATCAAACAACAGCATCAAAGTAACTGTCAGTTAAGATCACAGTTCATGATTCAACAATAAGAAAGAGACTGGGCAAAAATGTCACTTCAAAGGAGAAAACCACTGCTGACCAAGAAGAACACAAAGCCTTGCTCAAAAACAAAAACAACTTTGGGGAAAATATTTTGTGGACTGCTGAACCAACAGTTGAACTTTATGGAAGCTTTAAGTCTCGTTACATCTGGTGTGAAGCTAGCATGGCATCACACCAGCAGTCAAACATGAAGGTCGCTGTGTGATTTTCTGGGGCTGTTTTGTTGGACCATGAATTCTGCGCTTTACCAGAAAATCCTGAAGGAGGATGTCCGGCCATCAGTCATGAAGCTCAGTCACACTTGGGTTATGCAGCAGGACAATGATCCAAGACATCCACAACATCATTTAGAAACTGCATGTTGTATTTACTTGGGTTATCATTGTCTAACACTAAAATTTTTTGTCGATCTGAAACATGAAAGTCACAAATCTGCAAAAACAAAAAAAAACACCAAACATAAACAAAACCACTCAGGAAGGGGATTTTTTGTAGATGCACCTGTGGCATCAATTTTAAACTCCATCATTCTTGAGTTATTCATATTATTTGCGACCACAAACTTTCCCCTCCCACCCTGCGGGGTGACGACAATACCCCCATCAGCCTTTAACGGCCAAGGGTTATAAAAACTAAGATTCTTCTTTGAGCAGGAAGTCGCCAACTGGTTGCATAGTTTTATATTTGTTTTAAATTGAATGCGCTCATATTTGAAACAATGGGTTTATTTTACAGCAAAAGTATATATTTAAAAAATTATATAATACTATTGAGCAGATGTTAAGTAACATGTGCATAAAAGCCAAAATGTAAAATCTCCACGTGGATGCAGCAGCTCAGAATGATAAAGAGGGAAAATATAAGAAATTTAGAAACCATTTTGTCATGTTATAGGCTAGATAGATCACTAAGTATAAAGAAAAAGCAAAACTGGTGGGAAAAAAAAGAATTTATACTATTGGCCTGTTTCTTGGAGAGTGAGCTGATGTGCTTTTATGCAATTAAGGAATCAGAATTCTGGGTGGTGCAGCGCTTTAGACTGTGCTCTCAGAGCAAGCAGGTCCTGGGTTCAAATCCACTGGCTGTGTGGACTTTGCATGTCCTCTCAGCATCATTCATGTTGACATGGCTGTCAGAGTCTTAGCTCTGTGATGTATCCATCGTGTGTCCCAGCTTACCCTATAATAGCTAGAACCAGAATTCCTTCAAATTATGGAAATGATCTGGAGGCTGGAGCAAGCTTATTTTGTTAAAGGTGGAAAAATGCTGTTGAGATCGACACGCACACTCATAACATCAAAGTTCCCCCTTTAAAAACAACAAGAAACAAAGGAGAGTTTTGGTCAGCCTCTCTGGATATTAACTACAAATATGAATATACTATATATTATTATAACAGCAGTAATATGACAGTTTTGTGACCAAGTTGCCGCAATGTTAATGAATTTGAAAGCCACTGAAATATAATTCTCCAAGCTGATGCAACTGAAACATTAAGTGTTGACGTAAGTCAGCCTACAAAAGCCCACAGAACTATTTTACCTCAAGGTTTTCTGCCAGGCTCTATATTATCTGTTTAAAGAGGAAAACCCTGTTTTGCTAACAGAAACCAAGCACTCAGAGCTTAAATTTAACCAAACTGCAGGTAAAAATTGAAACTATGATATTTAGAAAGCCCTGGAGGCAAACCGCTCCCACTACCCATCTAAAATTTATAATGCAATTTTATAGCACATTCTGTTTTAAATGTATAACGAGGTTTTCAACTGACTGACAAAAAGAAGCTCACAATATATATTTATAGATAAATATCAACAAAACTAACAATAAAAAAAAACTACATTTCCTTCAGAATTTTTTAGCATTTTTACAAGATAAGACTTTATTGATCCCACGGTAGGGAAATTTGTGCGTTACCACAGCTCAGGTACAGATAGCAGAAGATTAAAAAGAGTATACCAGAATAAAAAGTCAAGAAATACAAAATAAATAAGATCATACAATATATACAACAATAGCTGAGGTTCTATGTACACAAACAAAGATGGTAAACATGATACCTGCTTATCATCAGCACTGTGGCACTATCACTGTGGTCGTGCCATCACAAGGACATTAACAGATCCACTAAGACAATTTAAAATGACTGAACTAATCTGGACGTGGACAGTCATGGACCAAACACTCTGAATATGTTTAACCTGGGAGAAAATAAACAGAAATTGCAGTTCGAATTCCTGTGTGTCATCTCAACAGCAAACAGAAGAAATGGACCGAAATAGCATTGGTGGCTTGGCACTTGTGTGATCATTAGAGGCTATATAGCACATAATTACAGGTGTGTCACACTACTGCATACACTAAATTGTATAGAAGCCTGACATCGTGTAATGCTTTCTAAATTGTCTGAAGCGTTATTGAGCCTTATAGAAACAACGCAGAGGCAGCAGAGGTGGGATTTTAAATTCAATTAAACTAAATACTAAAAACAACAACTAATAGATACAAAAAGCATCTATTTCCTTTCCATTAACGTGTGGCGCTAACGAGGATACTAAACAATCGCTATTACAGGGCGTAGTTATTAGTGTTAATTGGATTTTATAGCGAGCATGTTCATACTAAGCAAGTGAGTGTGTCAGACAAAGAGATGACACAGCGAGAGACACTGAGACAGAGCGGGAGAACAGAAGTGGGAGTCTGTGGAAATAGCCTTCAAACCAAACAGAGTGAACAAAGACAGGCAGGGGTGCAGAACCTTCAAGGCTGTGTTTCGAGCACAGCGATTCAGGCTCTCTCGAAATTAAAGCAAATATTCAATCTGCTAGTGGTAGCTCGTGAATCATCCCTGCACATACATAGGGGGTCATTTTCATATGTTTGGTTTAGAAAATATTTGTTAGAAATAGAATTTCCCAAAACAATCATAACTCATGCAACCCACCGCTGTTTAGTATGCAGCTTTCAATGTCATGGCTTTAAATACACCCTTTCTAACTGTTTGTTAACACAAGTAACTAATCAGCCAATCACATGGCAGAAAATGAATGAATGTAGGTATGTAGATGTGGTCAAGAAAACCTGCTGAAGTTCGAACTGAGCATCAGAATGGAGAAAAGGTGATTTTAGAGACTTTGAACTTGGCATGGTTGGTACCAGACAAGCTGGTCTGACTGTTTAAGAAACTG